TTCAATTAATATGGAAGCAGTTGTTGGAAAATTTCAACATATATGGGGCCACACGTAATATATTAAAATGTGTGGTGCTATTGTTTAAAAAATATTAGTCAATTAAAGTGATCCATTAAAGTCAATTTTGACTAATGGGTATTGAATTTCATGGAAATATAGTGTAGAGATCAGAATATTGTTTTAAATTGATGAAGGGTCAATTTGAAATAATTGAAAGATAATGACAATTCAATTGTTATTATTATTATTATTATTATTATATTAGGTTATGATCCCCAAATTGATAGTATTCTTCAGATTCTTTGCATCCCTATCAACAGAGAGTGAAATTCAAGAGAAGATCACCAATCATTTAGAAGATCACAACCCATTCAGGCAAATAATTAGACGTTTATGATCAAAGTATGTTTGGATTTTATTCATTTATTTGATTTCAATATGGAGTATGTATTAATTTTTATTTGTGAAAATGATGAATAACATTACTCTTTGTTTAAAGCATATTGATCGATAATCCTTTTCTTGTTTTCTAACAGCAGTGTGTTGAATTTTTCTCCAAATCCGTTAATCAATATCAAACCACTAGGGTCTCTAATGATAATTTATTTATTTTAACCAAAATATTGCAATGTATTTACGTGTTCAAAGGGGAAAAAAATGGTAAAAGAACTAAAATCCGTAGTAATACAAGTTTGAGAAATGAACTGATTTAATTATGCGTTTTAACTTGCTCTGTTCAAATAATAGAGGTACAAGAAACAAAAGTTAGTTTTAAGAAGAAGGATATTATCCAAAACCCCAAAAATATCTACAAAGAAGAAAAATCAATTTATAATTATAACTCAATCAATCTTATTATTATTTTTTTTGAAGTAAAAAATCAATATTATATTTGTTGGACAATTGGTAGTAGTTTCCCATAATTGACCAAAAAAGGGGGCTTGTGTGACGAAGTTTTTGATAAAAATTGTAGTAGATTTTAATAAAAAATTGATGTGATGTACGGTTTAAATTTTGCCAAAAATTGTAGGTCCCGTGAAATTTAATACGTCATCCATCCCATTTATATAGATTGGTTTTGTTTTTTACACGGTTTAAGAAATTTTATTTAGAGTAGATTACATTTATTTAATTATCAATAATTAATAGTAAATTGATTATAACTAGACAAATTAAATAAGGGTATATTAGTAAACGAACAAATATAAACATTCTCAATAAAGAAATAAGATTGTATAATTGGGACAAAAAAAAAGGGAAAATCGTCTTATATAAATTGACAAAAAAGTAGATAACACTCTAAACAAAGTTTTATGAAAGGTGTAAAATCAGCACAAGAAATTGCACCAATAGAGTAGTGTTCGTGAAATTTCGCAAGTGTACGGATCGTGACAAGTAATAAAGTGGATTTATCAAGTCCGAATATAGTTTCACAGAGACTATTATCTACTATAAATTTTAAACTAACATAACTTCAATTTAAGTTAAAATGGTAACTAATAATCAAATCAAGTTTTTGTTTTCTAAATGAAATTCTACTAAATCAAATAACACTATTAAATAAAATAACACACTCAAATTAAAACTATAAATATGATTATGTGATTGGATAGTTAGGATTTTCGAATTCACTTAGGTCATTTATCATACATTTAATTCCAATTTATTCAACTATTTTTCATACATG